GTGGGGAGGTGTAGGTGTGTGTGGGGTTTGGATATATATGTGGCTGGGTGGGGGTGGGGAGTATGGTGGGTGGGTGTGTGGTTGAGGTGTCGGGTACGTGTGTGTGGGTATGGTGGGGGTGGGGTGTGTGTGGTTGAGGTGTGGGTGTAGGTGTATGTATGGATGTGTGTTAAGGAGTATAGGTAGGGTGTGTGTCTGTGTTGAGGACCTATAGTTACCCACCAGGCCAGCACCTCATGGTCAGCTGTATCAAAGGCCACTGAAAGCGCTAGTAAGATCAGCAGGACAAAAATGTTCCTGTCAATCTCCAGGCAATGATAATCGACCAAGAGCATGAGCACAACTTATAACACGTATAAGCTGATGACTTGTATAGCCAATGTGGCTGAAAGATGCTACATTGGGAAGTACTGTAATTGTAGTCAACACTTCCGCCAACTTCATAGAAATGATGAAGGGACAACAGCTGTCAAAGGGGTTGCTAGTAGGAACTGACTGGAAACAGTTGGTTTTGGGATTGTTCTCTCCACTCATTTAAGGCTTCTAATAGCATCCCCTAAAACCAACTAACTCCAGTCAATTTCAAGGCTTCTAGAAGCAGGTCTGAAATGGATGGTTAAAAACCTTGAAAACAAAAGACTGGAGTCATGATCTCTTGGCAGGGTCCCTTCCAGCTCTGTTTTTTGTGCTTTCTTACTTTGATGTGGCTAGCTGCGATAGCAGAGAACTGGGGCTCCAGGGGGTTACTTCTGTTTGTCTGAATTGCTTTCTGTAGAGAAGGAAAAAAGGAGACCACTTGGATGGCTGGTGTAATGACTGTACCTCTTGGCACAGAAGCACCTGGCAAGCGAGGCATAGGAGTCAGGACACCCAAATACTCTGGCAGTCCCTGACTGCCTGAATAGGGCAGATAAAAATAAAGTATTTTTTCCAGGAAACTTTCACAGCTCTCATTTCCGTGAGTGGAATAGGAGACTGTGGACAGGATTCACCCTTGTACAGAGGCCAGCAAGGCCAATGAGCCACTTATATTCCATTAAAGATCATGGTCCTGGTGATTTGATAAGATGCATGAGCTGGCTGTCGACACAAGTATGAATTTCACCCAGGAAGTGCAGTTCTTACATGGCTAGCCCTGAAACTGGCCAGTGCCATCTAATCGGCCTGTGGTATCTCAAGAATGTGGATGTGACTGTGTGGTGGACTGTTGGTGGTTATTTTGTAGGGTTCCTGTTGTGGTATTTTGTGCTCCTTTTTCTTATGAAAGCTCCTGGAATCATTTATGTGAGGATCACATGATATTTTTTTTTAGAGGCCAGCTTGCATGGGTGCAGAGGAAGCCAAAGGTGCAGTCAAACAAGCAGAGCCCTAAATTCAGTATTTTTTTTAAACTGAGCACTTGATTTGAGAGAGGGGGGACCCTAACTCATTGTATTTTGTATGTGTGGGTTTCTTTGTTTTGTGTTTGAACCCCCGGAGTGGGCAATGTTGGAACTAGAATCAGTTGTGTATGCATGAGGTGCATTTGCTTGTATATTTAATTCCAGGTGGGGGGAAGACTTGAATCTCACAGATCTGCTACAGCTTCCTGACCAACTGTGGTTTTACTCTCTAAAGTTATTCTGGGAAATTACACCATCTGGTTACTGGGCTTACTTGTGCCTTTGGTGTGTTCAGAGTAACAGCTGCTGCCTTGCCTTGGGCTCTGCATGCTTGGGGCAATTTCAGTCTGGCTGTGGAGCTCCAGGCAGCCGAACCAGGGTGAACCATGGCACAGTTAGGAGAGCGTGTGTGGATGCTGGGAGGTCATGCTTCCCTTACAGAATCCCAGAATTATAGAAAATTGAGGCTGGAAGGGACCTCAGGAGGTCATGTAGTCCAACCCCCTGCTCAAAGCAGGACCATTCCCAACTAGATCATCCCAGCCAAAGTTTTGTCTAGCCAGGTCTTGAAAACCTCCAAGGATGGAGCTTCCATCACCTCTCTGGGTAACTTGTTCCAGTGTTTTACTACCCTCCAAGTGAGAAAATTCTTCCTAATATCTAACCTAAACTTCCCTTGCTGCAACTTGACCCCATTGCTCCTTGTACTGTCATCTGCTGTCACTGAGAGCAGTCTTGCTCCATTCTCTTTCAAACCCCTCTTCATGTAGTTGAAGGCTGCTATTAAGTCCCCTCTCAGTCTCCTCTACTCTAGACTAAATAAGCCCAGTTCCCTCAGTCTTTCCTCATAAGTCATGTCCTCCAGCCAGTTATGAACCGAGCAGGGTACAGGGCCCAGGGTAAATCAATCTGTGTGGGGCATTGCCCCCAGACATGAGAAAGCTGGCGGTGGTGGCAGGGAGTGGGGTGCCGAGCGGTTGGACACGCTGGATTCGGTGGGGTGGCGGGGTGTGCAGAGTGGCCAGATAATCACTTCCCTTGACCTACTGGCAATACACCTACCAGTGCAGCCCGGTATGCCATTAGTTTTCTTGGCAACAAGGGCACACTGCTGGGTCATATTCAGCTTACTGTCTACTATCACCTCACAGCTCCTTTTCTGCAGAGCTGCTGCCCAGCCAGTCAGCCCCCAGCCTATACTGGTACATGGAATTGTACTGTCCTAAGTGCAGGGCTTTGCACTTGTCCTTGTTGAACCTCATGAGAATCCTTTTGGCCCAATCCTCCAATTTATCTAGGTCACTCTGAATCCTAGCTCTACCCTCCAGCATATCTACTACTCCCCACAGTTTGTTATCTGCATACTTGCTGAGGGTGCACTCTATGCCTTTTTCCAGGTCTTTGATGAAGACATTGAACAAAACTGGCCCCAGGACTGACCCCAGAGGTACTCCATTTGATACCGGCTGCCAACTAGACATCAAGCCATTGATTACTACTCTCTGAGCCCAATGCTGCAGCTGGTTTTCTATCCACCTTACAGTCCATTCATCCAGCCCATACTTCCTTAGCTTGCTTACGAGAATGTTGTGGGAGAGTGCATCAAAAGCCTTGCTAAAATCAAGGTATACCACGTCCACCAGTCTCCCCGCATCCACAGAGCCAGTTACCTCGTCATAGAAGGCAATCAGGTTGATCTGGCATGACTTGCTCCATGCTGACTGAATTCATGCTGACTGTTCCTAATCACTTTTATCTCCTCCGAGTGCTTAGGAATGGATTCCTTGAGGATCTGCTTCATGATTTTTCCGGGGACTGAGGTGAGGTTGACTGGTCTGTAGTTCCCTGGATCCTTCTTTTTCCCTTTTTTAAACATGGGCACTGTTTGCCCTTTTACAATCATCTGGGATCTCTCCTAATCATACTGAATTTTCAAAGATGATGACCAGTGGCTCTGTAATTGCATCAGTCAACCCCCTCAGCACCCTTGGGTACATCCCATCCAGTCCCAAGGACTTGTTCATGTCCAGCTTTTCTAAGTAGTTCCTAACCTTTTCTTTTGCCACTGTTGTCTGCTCACCTCCTCCCCAAACTGTGCTGTCTAGTGCTGTAGTTTGGGAGCTGACCTTGTCTTTGAAGACTGAGGCAAAAAAGGCATTGAGCACTTCAGCCTTTTCTGCATCCTCTGTCACTAGGTTGCCTCCCCCATTCAGTAAAGGACCCACACGTTCCCTGATCCTTCTTTTGCTACCAACATATGCTACAGAATGCTACAGCTTCTTCTGCAGCAGTG